CTAAGCTTCAGAGTAATATTTGTGCATCAGTGTTCTAGAATGCAGCAATAAACCTTGGGGGGGGGGGAGATACACTGTGGCAAGATAAATTACAGTTGTGTGAGGGGTGAGTTTAGGGAAGCAGCTGGCTATAGCTCTCCTGCCATACCAAACAGTGATTCTTTTGCTACTTGGGAACAATAACAAAAGCATGGCCCTGTCCATTTGCAGAAGCAAGCCTCATCTGCATTGTTCAATGAGATGACTTCACAACATTGTTTGGGTACACTTGTTATTTGAAAAAATACATTTGTGCATTTAATGTAGTTCAATTTGTCTGCAGCCACAAAATTGCCATGTGCGTGGGCTGTACTATAGCAGGAAAAAAGGGATCTCAGCTGTGGAATGCCATCTTCTCACTGTAAGTAGGGTATGCAACCTGTTGGTATGCAGACTAATCTTTTGAAGTATGGTCCTCCTTATTTATTCTCCCCCATCTATTTTTTTCCCTTAGCAATTTGCACAACATAGGTTTCTTTTACTCCCATCTGCTTCCTGTTCAGAGAGTATTCTTGGTTTCAAAAGGCACTTCCTTTGCCTCCTTTTAAACCCTTGTACTGTATTCTTCCTTTTTGACGTTTTTGGTTGGCCTTCTTAAAATATGCAAACCATCTGTGCTTTTATATACTGATCTTAAACAGCCCCTACTCCAGATTTGTACTTCTTAAATTTGTCCTTCAGCCTATAATTAATCATCTTCCATGTAAATTTTAAACCTGTCATTTTAATGAGGGGAGCCTCTCTTGGCTATATCAAATCCAGTTGTCTAGTGCTTACTGCAAACCAGCCATGAACATTGCTAGTGTACCACACAGGGCCCTGCCCTTGAAACCTACATGAAAGTCTTCATAATATCCAGGCCTCCTTTATGTCAATGTTTATATCAAGCCAAATGGGCACTCCAGATGTTCCCTTGTTTATATTTAAGATTTTTCTGTCATACATGGTCTATAATTCTGTCCAAAAATGTAGTTTTTTACATGTTTTCATTTCTTGTACTGTTAATTTTAATTATTAATTTTAACAGTTTTTAATGATAATTTTAATATTTCTTGTAAACTATTTATGTTTTACTACAAAAAAGAGATATATAAATGTTAAATTAAACGAAAAAGGGTGGCTCTGATTGCCTGATCCCACAAGCAACTGGACAGCTGCATTATACATCTTCTGAAGTCTTCCAAGCTATCTTTAAAGACATCCCTGTACTTGGGCACATTACTTGTAGAGAAGAAGCTGGATTGGAGTTTATTAGTAGATCTCTTGAGTGATTTGTAATGGATTGACAAGGGCTTTCAACTCCCTGCCTATCAGTAGCAACACAAAAGGGCTTCTTCTCTTCCACTCTGGATGCTGAAAGAAAGGCTTGGGGGAAAACCAAGAGTAGATTTTTTTGTGGAAGGATTTATGAGCTTGTTCTGAAACTGATCACAAATTCCTGGGCTGAGCATGTGCTTAGCCAAGTGGTTGTATGGTATTTTGCACCTTGCTCTGATTGGTGAATCTCATGGTTCAAGCTTCTCCCCCCCCCCCCCCCGCCGCCAAGTAGGTCCCACAAGCATGGCCTGTCCACTCTTGTTACAGAGCATTTCTCTTTTGAAAATTAAAATCTTTGCAAATATATTAATAGATTAAAAATGTGATAGTGGGCGTGACGTGGGTGTGGAGAAAATGAGGATGGTGAAAATTTAATCCCTAATGCTTTTTTCAGCCTGCCTGTTTTTTAAATAGCATTAAAGACTGAATTGGGTTTTATCCAGTTTCCTGCACTTGGCAACCCTTGTAAGTTGTAACAGATGAAGTTCTACTGTTTCATTCAATGAGCTTCTTCCCATATCTTTTTTTCTGATGACTTCTTAATTCCTTGAGAATTCAACGCAGGATTCACATCTGTTCTGTTTGGAGAGAGGTTGAAAGCCCAGTAAAAACGCCCCATTGGGTGTAGAAGTTGTGTGGTACATAAAAACTCATATGTTGACATTTTGACTTCACATTTGGATGATGTGGTAAAGAGGAAAAAATACCTTTGGCTAAAGGTATACTTATTGTAAAGATAGATCCTGTTGCACTTGAATGAATTAGCACAATTTTAACATATGAGGGGAAGAAAAGGGTGTAGCATTGCAGAAGTGGCTGTTAAAAGATGACTGTTGTGTATGAAACAATGGCTGGAGACATGTTTTTTTTTCTCCACTTCAAGAAGTTGAAGGTGGCATGATGTAAGTATGTATATTTATTCTTAGCTCTGGTAAACATGCTTCAGTCTGCAGTAGTTGTTCTATGGGATAAAAGAAGTGCATGTATATACCAAGTACAGTAATGCATCTAGCATCCTTCCTTTGTCTTTCCTAGAATCTATTGTGTGTCACCAGCCTTAGTCATTCATTCTACATTATAGAGACAGCTCCTGCAAAATGTTTGTCACTAGGAAAACAGAAACAAATTACTGTTGTCTGAACTTCTGTTCATAGTTATTTTGAATCAATGTCATCTTTTGGAGATGACTGTGATGAGTCAGAATATTGCACAGCATGAAACACATAGCAGGTAAACATGGTAGGATCATCAAGCAATTCTACACATTGATTGGTATTGGATTTTCAGATCGGATTTTCAGTAAGATGTTCAGAAAATCTCACAATAGCAAAACACCTAGCAGTTGAATTTTTGTGCATTATAATGTGCAAGTTGCTTCTTTAAATGTTATTCTTCTAGTGAGTATGGTTGTAATTTGCTTTGCTTCATAATACACCATGAGGTCTAAACAGTTAAAACCTATTTATTTATAAATGAGTATTTCTAAAGCATTATTTAGTAGCCTGAACTAGCGTAATAGTTCCTCTCGCCATATGAAAGCTAGCTTATGGTTAAGTCTTTGTGCCCAGGAGCCTATAAATTTAATTTGTGGCATTTTCACCTCATACAAACAAGGAAAACATCCCTTTTCAGATCAAATGGTATATGTCCTGAAAATCTAGAGGTGGTAAAATTTTGGTATTTTTGAATGCTCCCTGGTTCCTCTGACGTGAGTGTTTTACATGGAAGAGCATTCCGGAACACAGTCCTTCACTTCAGGCTGCAAGTGATAAAGTATCAAATTCTACCACCTCAAGTCTACATACCAGAGCTCATAGAATAGCTCTGTCAGTTGAGCATCAAATTTTCTGCTATATATTTTAATGTGTAAAAGAGCCTTTTTCCCTTTGGCTAATCTGTGAAGCAGCTTCCTGGCAGTCTAGCCTGCTTCCCAGCCCTACTGCTCAAGAATTCAGGGGTTTTGCTGTTTAGGTTCCAATGCCTAAGCATTGATAAAGACTCGCTTCAGCTGTCATTTTCCTTTATTATGTGACTTCTGAGAGGAGTTCTGTCAATTCACGCTTGTTTCACCTTCTTTAGTATATGAATGCCCTAGCAGAACCATTAAGGAGAGTGAAATGAAGTAATTGAAATAGTGCTGCCTCTTACTGGGTGTCACCTCAGTGCACAATTACTGTTCAAAGAGAAGGGCTTTCTCATTCTCTGAAAAGACGAGAAGCCTTTTTTGTGCCACTCATTGTCCATTTGCGAATAGGTAAAACTAGTTTCCATAAACATAGTCTACTGTTCAGTTTCTGTCTGATCAGCCCTGTTTTGTTCTGTGCTGACCGAGAGGGGAAGAGTGCCACCTATATGTGCATGTTGCACAGCAACATTTCACAATCCGCTGCTGTTAAGCTGGGGAGGCACTCAGTTGGGCAGCAAGTTCTTTCATTATAGAGAGGTGGGTCTTAATTGATGTTTGGCTCCTGAGCCAGTTTTAGAGAGTTTATAGAAGCAAAATGAAATAGAAGTGGTGTTTATGTACCTTATGTACCAGACGTTTCACCTTCTGTACACAGAGATCAAGGGCTGCCAGGAGAAGGATGCAATGACACTTGTGTAGGTCTAACTGATAGAAACAGGGACATGTTAGAGCAGCAAAGGAGGAGAAGCTGTAGCAATGAAAGCTGTAGGGAACCTAGTCAAGGAAGGAGAAGCACTGGCAAGAGGGACAACTGCTGTAGTCTACATATGTGAAAGTTGCTTAGAATAAATGTGATGCAAAGCCTTTGACTTAGGAGAGTGAAGAAGAGGGCACAGCCCTCCTTTAAAGAAGAACTATTTGGTTTTCAATTCACATTTCTCTCACTCAAAAGCAATGGCTGTGGTTTCCTCTTTGTTTCCAGCCTTAGGTTTCTATTTATTTTTTTGTAAATAGAATCTGATGTACTTGTGTGGTGTCCTTTCGTTCTGTGGTATGATTGACTGTCCAAATTCAAAATAGCTGTGATAAAAACAAAAGGTTGATGATTGTAGAGAAGCTAGGAATAGATGGTCATAAACTCCAGCACATGGGGCAAGTACAATAGGACAATGCAATCACCTCCAGTCTAGAAGATATTGCATTGTGGGTAGGAAGATTGCACAGGCATCACCATCTTTCCCAAGCACCATGGGGAAGCATGTGCCAGATTTCCCAAACTTCTCACTTTACCCCTCACATCTTCTATAACAAATGTAATGTACAGTTCATAGGTTGGTACTACTAGGCAATGCTGGTGAAATAACCCTGGGATATTTCAGTGAATTAAAATGATGTGAAATTGCACACTTGGTGGCTTTGTGTTTTGGGCCAGCTTCATACATTTAGCTGAATGGTAATATCCTTCATGTAGTGGGGTGGAGACCACAGTTCCAGATATGTGCAAGCTGAGACCATGAAAATATGCAATGTGTGGGCTGTTATCAGTGATCCTTCTACCCCAGTGTAAGATAATGCGTGTATGAACACATGACCCAGTGGTGATGCCCACTCAGGTGGAATCAGATTTGCAATTTGCACACTCCCAAAGCCTCACTTGCCACCATGTGCAACTAGACTGAATATCTAAGAATATCTAAACTAATTTGATGATTAATGTTGTTTTTCTCTTAATCTGCAGGGTGCCCACACTGTAAAAACTCCATCCCCCATTTCACAACAGCTGCAGAACTATTTAAAGAAGATCGAAAGGTAATCCCATTTTGGATTGTTTCTAAGGTGTTATGTAGAACATCACAGCCATCCTTTTCTGCTAACAACTTTTATCCAGGTTTTAAAATGGTGAAATGCTGGGCTTGTGCTTTAAAGCAGTGACAAAACAACTGAATCAATTAATCTATCATCCAAAGCGAAGGCAGTGAGCCAGGGGTGGATAACCTGTGGCCCTCCAGATGTTGATGGGCTCCAACTTCCATCAGCCCTAGCCAAAATATGCAGTGGTCAGGGATGATGGGAGTTATCATCCAGCAACATCTGGAGGGCCATAGGTTCCCCACCCCTGCAGTAAGCTAACAAATTCCACTCATTTCTCCTAATTTGTTGCTTAAATAAATGTGGTTTGGTTCATGTTACTCTCCCATGATATACTACTTTTTCTCTCTCTCTTCAGTCTCAACTCGAGACATACAGTTCATTTCAAACTCAAAGGCTAAGATTCAAAGAAGGGAAATATGACACCTGAGAAACTCTGGAGCTTCGCTTCCTGCTGTTAGTGCAGCTGATCCTGCTGCTGAAAGAGACCACCTGCCTTTCAGGTTGTCCTTATTAATCAGTGGACCTTCCATGGCTTGATGCAGAATTGGCTCAACATGTACAGACTTTCTCAGATAACTCTTCAGGATGGGGGGAATCTCACTCTCCACCCAAAAAACCCCCTGTCTTCTAGCACATAATTCAGTGCCTTATTCAGTGGCCCTGCTAACTTAAGTTTCGAGAGAGAGGTAAAAGGCCTCCAGGCGTTCATTTTAGAGCTCAGATAACTGTAGATTCCCCTGATCAAGATTGTGGATGCTCCCCATCCTGACTGAGCAGCTGCTTATACGCCTTCTATTAAGCCCTCTAATTTTAGTTTTTAGCTATTCTTTTACTACCTTATAGGGTAGTAACAACTTTGTTTGTTGATCATGTAACTAGAAGTTTTACTGAGGCCAGTAAAAAAAACCCCAACCCACTCAGGTAAACTTTGCAAAGAGTTGTTTAAAAGGGCAGGACTTATTTAAAAGGAACAAAAAAAAAAGTTGTGAGGAAGTACTCTAGCAGGTACACTTTCCTCCCCCAAGACTTTATATTAAATGCAGATTAGATGCATAGCATTTTGCTACCAGAGATAGGAGCTGAACTAGAGCAGGACTCGTAACTGCAGCCATATAGGCTGAGAGAAGGAACTGGGCATCACAGCTTACCCCTTCAGTAGCAAGAAACGCAAAGAACAAGTTGCAGTGAATTCACTTCTCTCCTACTTTTCATGAGGTTCTTTAGGAGGAATAATGCTGCTCCCAAGATGCAACTCCCTGTCTATGGGCTGTGCCTCAGAAAGCATGATTCCTAGTTGTGCTGCAGAGCCAACACCTCCTCACACAAATAATGGTGGGCAGGGTGCACCTGGAAATGATTTCTTCAGCCTGGGGAGTCAAGTGTTAAGTTTATGAACCCAGAGACAACATTTGGATAGATGGGTGGATGGATGGATTGGACTCCTGTGAAAGGCTCGTTACTATCTGAGGAGGGGAAGAGAGAGGGAGAAAACAGTTTGTTTTAATTTGTATATTGAAAAAATGAAACATGGCTGACTTACTTTTTAAAGAATGTTTTGATTGGCTGATATTTCTTTATGGGTCTGCTTCTTGACTAAGATACTGTAGAATGAATAAATGAATAAGGTCCTGACCCTTTTAGTGTGCACCCGGCTTCCCCCTGCCCACAGCATCAGTGCTAAGCAATGCAACCACTGCATCTTTATTAATGAATGAGGGAATCCTTTCCTATGCATCATCTTGAAGCAATTTCTAAATAAACAAAACCATTTATTCCTTCAAATAAAGCCTTCCACACATGAGATGCTATTCCCCCCATGGCTGCTGTGTGTGTTTGTGTGTGAATACCACAAACTTGGGAGAGGGAATTATGTGGGTCATTATCAACCAATGAGATCCCTGCCAGGATGTCTGTGTGCTTAATATCAAAGAATGCTGCTAAACAGATGGGTGAAATTCCACATGCTCAATCCTTCCGCTGGGTAAAATGTCTGATTGTTCAAAAACTGCTGAAGATTGAGAGAGGGTCTTTTAGCCCTCGAGACGATGATTGATGGATGGAACCCTTATTTCAGCCAGTGGTAGTTAACAGCTAAAGTGCCATGGTATAAAATTTAATGAGGTGGAACCAAAGTTCAAATTGAGAATATTGAGTTTGGTGGGGGTTCCTCAAGGCCAGGCACACAGGAAAAACAGCTTTGTTTTTCCCCCTCTTGACTTTTCAAGGTGGTAGAGATTGATAATTTTGGACTCCTCCTTCAATCATACACAATCCAATTCTGCTGAAGTACTTCTTGTGGTCTGCTAATGTCCTTAATGGATAATTTACAGAGGCTGTAGCACAGCACAGGAATGCAAGTGCTAGATAATTTCTTTGCAGCTACTTCTTTTTTTAACAATTTTTTTGTAAAGTTTACACAAGTGTCTTTGTGGACTGGTTGCTCTGCAGTTCACTACAGAGAAAGTGAACAGGGCTCCAAAATAACTGCTCTAAAACCCAGTAAGGTTTAATTTAAAAGAAGAAGAACAAAAGGCTAGACTTTCAGTAGCTTGTTTTCTTTGATATTCCATATCTGTGAACTTTTACTCTTTCTGCGGTATTTCAGAGGAGGTTTTTTTTCCCCATCTAAGAATGTTTTCCTATTGAGCAATCAGCTATCTTTGAGCAATCAGCTATCATTTGGCTCTTTCCCTCCCTGAACTGTTTCCATCCAAGCTGATCATTTTTAAGAACTGCCATGTAGCTTTGATAATTTGGGCTTGTTTGCTGCTCCCACCCCTACATCCCTTTTTGCAACATGTCTTCTAAATTGTTATCCTGTGGGGAGGGACTGTCAGTGTGTACAGCACTTGGCAAATTCATGCTCTTTATTATTTATTAACAACCAAAAATTTGAATTTGTTCTAAGTGTTCTAAACTCAAGATGCCATTGTAAAATGTTTTCTGTACACAGTGGTACCTCTGGTTATGAACATAATTCGTTCCGGAGGTCTGTTCTTAAGCTGAAGCCGTTCTTATCCTGAGGCATGCTTTTGCTAATGGTGCCTCTGGCACGCGTATTCTGCTCACATCCTGGGGCAAAGTTTGCAACCAGGAGCAACTACTTCCGGGTTAGCGGAGCTCGTAACCCGAAGCTTGCATAACCAGAAGCGTTCGTAACCAGAGGTACCACTGTGTACATAAGCATGTGTTGGAAAGATGCATGTCTTATACAGATACAGAAGAAGCTGGCTCATTAGGGTGAATGGCCACTGCCCTATTAACCTTCATGTACCCTCGAGCAGCTTTCTTTTTTTCTTAAAACCAGTCATGGGGTGTCTGTGCCTGCCACTGGCTCTGGCTCCACCTACTACTTGGTTTCCCTGTCTTCAGCTTTACAGATCCAATTGGCACCAGCCATCATAGTACAGATCATACGTCATAGTACTCTCTAGTGAGACTGAATTAGGTTTGGTTCCCTGAAGTTGGTGACAACCATGAGTTTTGTCACAGCCATGTTATATATTAAACAGCCCTCACAGTCAAGTGTGGGTTGATCTCCTGGAAATCCCCTTGTGCCTTCTACCAGGCCCCTGCAAATCCCAAGACGTATTGAGGCTCCACGGTTAGCTTGGCCAAGAAGCACTGTATTTATGATGTATAATACTTAACAGAAATAAAGCAACAGCACAGTCATTGTCAGGGAACAGAAGATTTGCAATACGCCCCATGCAGAACCCAACCTTTAAGTCATTTGGCAACAACATCCTTTTCTGTGTAAGCAGAGATTTGTCATCTTTAGTTGACTACTTTCTAAGCTATTCTTTTCCTGACTGAAATGTTATCCTTTTTAAAAGAACACTTAGGAAGGGGGGAGAAATTAAAAACCTGCCCTTTTTCATTCCTTTCCAAAATCAATGTTCAGTTAGTTATTCACTTCCATTTTCATAACAAAAGTCAATATTTGCTCCTGCAGAGATTTATTTCCTTGAATCAATAAGCTGATGTGTGGTGGTACATATTTTAATGGGAGAAAGGCCAAGTGCTCCTGCAGGAGACTTCTATTATTACAGGCTCCTGTGATAGCTAGAAAGCCAGTCTGTGAAAAGAGGGGGGAAAGGCTGGACAGAGGTGGGTGGGTGGGGGTGGGTATGGGTATGGGTGTAAACCAGAGGCACTTCAAGGTTTGAGAATGCACCCGAGCCAGGGGTCCTCTGCAAAAGGGCCTACACTGCTCTGGTCATTTCTCAACCACCGTTGCCCTGGCCCACTGCTTTCTCCTACCTCCACTTCTATGATGGTGTCCCCCTTTCTGCTGCCTCACATTTTAAACCTTTTGGTCAGCAGGGCCGTTCTTATTTCCTCTCTCCTGCCTCCACTGCTGCTGCTACTCCGCTTGTGTTTTCTTAAAAAACCTTTTTGACCAACCAAGTGGCTAGTGCTGTGTATCACTTTACTGGCTGAACTTCCAGCAGCCTGCCATTTGCAGCTGGAAGTTGATGAGCTACTGCAGTGTTTCCCAACCTTTTTTGGGCAAAGGCACACTTATTTGATGAAAAAAATCTCGAGGCACACCACCATTACAGCCCCGTGACGTCAGCGCGCAGCGTCGCGCCGGGAGGGACGCACGAAAGTGTAAGTTTCAATTTTTTTCCCTCCCCTCCTGTGTAAAGGGGAATGCACTCTGCTAAGTAAAGGCACTTGCCACAGCAGCGTCAACGTCACAGCACCCACCGGCACCCAAGAGAGAAGGGGTCTCAGCAGCCCTTTTGCCAGGAAGAGGAGCAAGAACGAGAGGAGGAGGAGGAAGAGGAAGAGAGTCCCCCCCAAAAAAACATTCTCCTTTTCATCTTCCTTATTTGCAATTTCTCATTGCAAAACAGCGGTTGATATAGAGCTGATTTTTTTGTTATTACAGTCCCCACCCCCTCACCTAGAAAAACACCCCCTGTCAATTT